TATTATACTGCTAATAGTTTTTTGATAAGGTTCCCGCAATCACATCCGACTTCTATGAATCATCTATGTTATTGTTTATTTTTGTTAACTCTGTTACATAACAATTCAGTAACTAAATTTAACATCTGCTATATATATACATACTTTATGGTTATTTAATTATTCTTCTGTGGATTGGCATGCTAAGACCATAGTAAATATTGATTACTTAATCTCTGCTATCCATAATTCATTAACTCTCTGATGACAATTAGTAACCAATTAATAAAGTAACAGACACAGGAAACAGACAAAACAAATAAAAGAAAATTTGAGGTTTAAGAGTGTGTGACCCTCGGCACTCTAAATTTGAGTTTGGAATGTTTTGAAAAGAATTTTGGAGAGATTTCAATGTGTTTTTTTTGCAATGAATTGTGACATAATGGTACAAGATTCTTTTCTTGTTCTTGTTCCATTTCATTCCTCTATAAATACATGCAATACTCAAGTGCAAAGGACACAAAAAGCTGCCTCAAGAACCACTTCAAAAATCTCTCAAAAATCTCAAGTGCAAATTCGTATCACACGATCCAGCCACTCTCAAGCCAAACGAAGTGTCCAAACCTCTTCCTGAAGTCCTCAGGAACACATCCAGCTCAAGAACCAGAAGATTTGGTTCCTGGAACTCGTGCTTCAAACTCCACTGATTTGCATTTTTTTCCTTGAATTCAATCTTAAATTCCATGCGTAATGTGTTTGATGAGATCAAATGTATTCAGGATATGATTTAGGACGAGTTTGACATATCACATGTAAGTTTTGATGCATGAATCTCTATATGCCATTTTTAAGGCATGTAAATACGCTTGCTTTAGTTCTCTCTTTACAGGCACATTCAAGAGAAAAGAACCCCACCACCAGATTCGTTTCCAACTTTTCAATTGTCTTGTTTTTATTTTTTTGCTTTTGCTTAATTAATTTAATTACTTTTTTTAATTAAAATCAAAAGACCATAAAAAATCAGAAAAAATCATTAAAAATTAGATTTAGGTTTTTTTAATTAATTTAATTTTTGATCAACAAAAAATTATTTTAATTAAATTAAATTTGTTTTTATTTCACAATTAATTTGTAAATTACTTAGAATTAGAGTTAATTATTATTATCACTTTAATTATTTTTCATAAATAATTAAAATCAAACTATTTTCCATAAAAATACAAAAAAAAATATTTTCTAACATTTTCTCTTATTTATTTTTTAGCTATTTAAAAATTCATAGAGAAATTGTATAGGTCGCGTAGTTTAAATGTAATAACTTAGATTTACATTCTCGCACTTTTTTCTAATTATGTAACTGTACCAAAGCCCTGTAATAGTTGTAGGCCTTTACTTTCTCGCGCTTTACTTTCCGCACCTTTATTTTTCTGCACTTATAATTATATACCTGTATATATAACAGTTAGTAAATAAGCTTGTATGACAAGATTTAAAATCAATCAGTAGATAACTCCTAACTAATCAAGATAATATAACTAAACTGAATACACTATGCACACGTACCCCTCTAGGGTAACCTCCCTTGTTGCCTTCGGATAAAAAAGAGTCAACATAGGGATACCATTAGCAAAGAACCTCGATTAAAAATCATCATAAAGATCATTGTCCCTCAATGACCCTTCGATGCTGCCTTCGGTAAATGATCTTGTCCCTCGATGTTGCCTATGAATACATGATAATAGTCCCTTCGAATTGCTAAATGTATCCCTATATGTTTCCTTTATGACTGTATGATGACCTGCGCATGTCCATAAAAACATTCAACGATAGGACTTCCTACTAACCGATGGTAGGATAACACTATCTAGAAGTGGAGGGAAAGAACAAAGACTTTTGAGTAGGTAGATAGTTCTTAATCGCTTGCTCACGAACATTTCAAAACATTTTTCACACAATACACTTCTCTTTTGAAATATTTTCAAAACAAACACTTTGTATGAGTTCTCAACGATACGAGAATCATTACAAAGTTTGCCGCACTTAGGCATTTTTCAAAATATTTTAAAAACTTACACATTCACAGAGCATTTTCAAAAGTGGGCTAGCGATTAAAAGCCCGTAGATAACTATGGATGAAAAGGGTGCTAACACCTTCCCTTTTCATAACCTACCCACCTTACTCAGAAAATTCTCAAAGGTTTTTCCTGTTCTTTTCACCCTTTCCTTTATTGGATAAAAGAAAAGTCGGTGGCGACTCTTGCTATCCGCAACATTTGCGATAAAACGCAAAACCAAAAGTCAGTTCTCCCACTGTATTACATACCTGCATGACCAGATCATCAAATGTTTCTCGTCAACCCAACACGAGTCAGGAAGACATCTAGGAAACGACCAAAACAATCGTATGACCGTAATCCTCCTCCTTAGAACAAACAGCTACTTACGAGTATGTCTGTCCGTTTTAATCCAGTCCTGACAATTACCTATTTTTGTAGACCCGCATATCTAGGCCCAAAAATATGAACCAATAGCTACGCTTCGGGGGAATATTATATAAACCCTCACACATGTGAGGGTCAGGTATTCACAATCTCACACCTTAAACCATAATATTCTGCTTATATCTCTTTGCTCTCACACTTACTTGATCGTCAGAGTGCCTTGCAGGTACAACCCTCTTTTCTCCTCAATTTTCCAGCCAATCAAAGATCATCATTTGGCCCACTTGCAGATTGTGATCAATTGGTAAAATCAATTCTAATGAATCGAGGACTTGATTTCTTCAAATTCCAAGAGATTTTATGATCATGAAAAAACATATGTTCAACCAAGAATCTAAAGATCAGAAAATTCTACCTAACCAATCATCATACCAATAAATTGATCAAAACAAAGAGGAATCGACCATAGCATCACAAAAACCTAATCTTAACCATAATTCACCATTTAATCATATTAATTCTTAAACTAATAAAAAAAATAATGAAAAATTGCATCTAAGTCAGAAATCAACATGTTAGTGTTCATACAGAAATAAATAAAAAAATCATGCAAGAATCATTCGAAAATAATTATACAAAAATTAAGAACAAAATGAGAATCAAAGTAGAACTAGGAGGTGTAGTGGACCAGGGGAGTGAATCTGAAGAAATTCAATAGACCAAAATACTGAAGGCCCAATCTAAACTCAACATCCAGCTTTTCACATTTTTCATCTTATATTTTCTGATTATTTTTAAAATAAAAAAACAAAAATGAAATAAATTTGCCAACAAACCGAAACGCTGCGTTTGACAATTGTATAGGGTTAGAAGCATTGTGACTTCCCAAATCCCACGAACGAAAATTCCTCTCTCAACCGCAGCAGAACCTTCTTCCTCTCTGATCGCCGCCGTCCTATTTCACTTCGCCACCGGAAGAGACTGTTTGATGTCAGTTATAATGTGAACAAAGTTCTGTTAGAGACTGTTTTGATAGTGAAAATCGGTTAAGTAGTTAGTAATGACAGGTTAATTAGTTAGGAAGTTAAAAGTTAGTTGGGGAAGTTATGAGAAGTTTCTGTTAGTTGGGGGTTAGTTTATATTAGTTAAAAAAATAGTTAGAAGTGTTAGGAATCTGGTTATGATGAGCTGGCTTTTTCATTGGTCATAACAGGGGTAAGATGTTAGCTACTGCAACTGTTAGTTACTGGTTTGCAACTTAGCTGAATTGCCAATTCAAGTTAGAAGGTTAACTACATTAAAACTGTTATAACAATTAGCACGAACAAGTTAGGTTAATAAGTTAATCATGATAGTAGTGAATGCTAAAAAACCGTTAGAGTCAAGTTAATTAATCTAATATGAATTGGAGGCATGGTTGTTTATGGTTTTGGACAGATTGGTGACTTGTGTGTGCTATGGGATATTCATGAATCATAATGTGAACAGAAGTTGGAATGGAAATAGAGCTGAAGATTTGAATGCTTGATTTGCTTTGGAGTGATTTGAAATTATATGTTTTATACTTGCAGGTTTGGCTTGAAACATGGTCGCACATGTATTAAAGCATATGAAGACAGTGTAATCAAAACATGGCATTGAGTTTAAGATATCGCTTTGGTTTTGCATAGACCTTTGTATGAATTTTCTTATGTATACCATGGCATTGTAACAATTGGGTTTTATGGATAGCAATATGGATCTTGAATGTATTGAAAGTATGGTTCGTGAATCCTTCGAATAAAGTGACAAATTCTACAAGGTCTCTTTCTTTCCAAATTGTACTTATTTCTTTTGAAGCAACTTTGCACTTAAAAGCAATTATGCATACTAATAAAAGAAAAGGCCTTTGATCTATAGCCAAATAAGTGAACAAACTGAATATGAATAAGACTTTGGTTGGTGATGATGTCGATTGAAATTGAAAGCTCCTAGAACAGTGGTTGCCAGATATGATTTTGCAGAAAATAAAAAGCACAGCCACTGCCGAGTCACGGCGAGTATGGTAATGATGAGCTAGTTATCACAGGAACCAGGAATAATGGTGCTTTAGTCAAGGAAATTTATGAAAACTTAGTTCAGATTCCAGACACGAGCGAAGATGGAATGTGGAGAGCAATCTGGAAGATGAAAATTCAAGAATGAATTAAGAGTTTTCTTTGGCTCCTAGGGCATGATATACACCAACTATATATGAATTAATCCTAATATGATAACCCATCTATCATAATTGATGCACCCTCTAATTAAAAAATCTACATATTCCTTATATAATTGAACTCAACCCATATAGAGATGATTCTGGTATAACTTATAAGGTATAATCAATCTCAGAAGTCAGAACAATTGAATAAACTATACTCTATGAATATAGATGGAAAGCTTTAAAAAGTCCTATAGGCTATATACATAAGTTCCTCCCCCTAAAGACTATATCATCAGTCTAGGTTTTCTAGCTCTTCACATAACCTATCATATTTCCGGAATTGTGGTATATGGATCAATAACCAGAGCTATTCCAGTACCATGCAAGAGCATGCTTCATATTCTCAAAATGCGCTTTAACTTGTAAACCTGAAAAGTAAACAAAATTGTCTATATGGAATTCGCAAAGTAAACAAAAATGTAAGAGCAGCAACAAATTTACCAACCTGAGCAGTCCTGCTAGGGAGTTGCACCTCTATGCAGTTTCGATGGCCATCGACTCTGTCGATACATGTTACCCGCATCAAAATACGATAAGCCAAAACCAGAAACAATAACCACAAGGACACAATCAAAGAAGAGATTCAAGACGCATGAGTACCTTCTGCTTATAGTTCTTTGAAAATATTGATCCTCTTTAAGGATCCCCTGACCAGCATACTTTATTTCATCCGTGTTCAGAATAAGCTGTATCATCAAAATGTTTCGACAAAGTTAGTTACCCTTCAACGAGCCTATAAAAATGCTAAGCATTCGAGTTCGGATAGATAGTCAGTGCGTATGAACTTGATACTCACTTGATATTCCCCGGCTTCTTCTACACCTACTGTGTAACTATCATAAGAATCTGTTGGATGAAAATTGAAAATGAAGAGAAGGGGACCTCTCACATAAGATATGACCTGCATGGTATACGATAGTACGATACTGTAATAAGCACATGTGACATGTCCATAAGCTGTTTTCAGCTTATTTCCAAAAACTCTCCAAGATAACTTATGAAAACAGTTTGATAGGATTGGAATGAAAAACCGGTGTACCATTGAACTGTCATTAACATGGTGAAAGGATGGAAAACCCCGCGAGAGCGCTCTCTCATTTTTATCCAGCTTCATCATGTCCTGAAAAGAATACAACAAGCAATTTCATAATCTCCATTTGTTTAAGGAGTTACAAACATAACTAGTAAGATGGTATAGAAATATCACAAAAAGGACCGAATTAAAACCTTATCAAAGGTAAATAAATAACGGTGAACTCCGTCTTTTTCCAAAAGATCCCACTGACGATTGGCAAGCGAATATGAGTAGTTGTTGCTTGACGTTGGAAACTCAACTCTCTGGCACAACACATAAAACATTAAAACATTATCAGTTACAAACTGGAGAGTAGTTGTGCATATTTAAAAGGAGTAATCCTCACCTTTGGATGCCCAAATTCATTGCCCATGAAGTTCATATACGCACAGCCGCCAATTGTTAACGTGATCAATCTGATCATCTGGCGCAAAAGTATAAAAAAAACATTGAACTCAAACTTCTAAATTCAAGTCTTCACTTCTAAACGGAAAAACTGAAAATTAGTGAAGCATACTTTATGTAATGAAGAGCCTCTCAATAAAGACTCCTTATAATGTTCTGAAAGCTCGTCAATTTCACCGAACAATACTTCTGCAAGTGATCGCCTTCCAGATATGGACTGGCAGGCAACAAGATAAGAAAAGTTAGATCCACAGCGATACCTGAAAAATAAACCTCGCAGATCATCAAGAAATCAAAAAAGGGCGACTTACCTGGTTGTGATTTTCTGCATACAAGAGCATCTTATCAGCATATTCCTTTTTTGAAACTAATGTGTTAACAATCTGAAGTTTGAGATGCAACGGCAAAAAAATTATTGAATTTTTTTTTTTTAATTGAGTAATACTAATGGAACCAGCAAATACATTTAATAACAAAATTATCTATTATATTCGAGTAGGACCTTAGTCATGCTCCATTCATGGTCAGGAACGGTCTCAAGAAAAGTTGACCACATCTCAGGGGCAGAAAGGTTGACGTAGTAATCAAATCCCAGTCCACCTTGAGAAGTTGGCTCACATAATCCAGGATAATATGTTGCCTGATAAAAAATTATATAAAAATATGTTAACCGATACAAAAATTATATAACTCAAGGTGAAGATCAAGGATAATCACTACTTATAAGGAATTAAATTAGGCACCGAAGGAAAAGTCATTGAAACGGAAAGAAAAATATTGCAGTAATATAAATGAAATGAACATGAAATCTTACGTCTTCCGCTATTGTGACAATATTTGGGTGAAGAACATGTAGTATCTCATTGGCCATGATAAGATATAATAGTGCATCCTTGTCAACATATTGGTTGCTGTACCTGAAAGAAAGTAGAATTTGTACTCAATGCAATTTTCAATGTGATTATGTTCTACAATTTCAAATATACCTACAATATTAATAAATAAGATGAGACGGAGTTCGGAAATGGCCTTACTCCTCCAAGTCACCGGTAAAAGAAGCAAAACCATTGTGAGTATATATCATAGATGAAAGTGAATGAAACTGGAAACCATCTATTTGATACTCCTCTATCCACCTGTTCAAACATCGTCTTGTGAGAGCAATTATAAATTATAACTACTTGTATACAACGTCTATGCTTTGCAAATGCATATACCAGGTCAAGTTTGATAGAAGGAAATGAAGAACATCAACGTCGCCATATTTGAACATTCTGGTTCCCCAGTACTTGTGTTGTCCCCGTTTACCTATTCAAAAAGTCAAATCACAATTGTGATTTACAGGTTTTCGAATAAAGGCAATATTCAGCGTAGAAAAGTTCAAACAACACTTTACTTTTCTAAGGAACATACTAGCTCAAACTCAATTATACAAATGCTCCAAACTCAAGCTTTATAAACTTGACAACAATAGCTTATCAATAGCTCATGAATGTGAGTTCTGAGGTGCACCGAGTATATCAAGAGTAATTATTTCACCCGTGTAACTAAATAAAGAGGTTCTAGCAGCGTGAAAAGGTACCAGAATGAAAATAACAGTCGTTAGATCCATCGAACAATGATAATCCAACCATCTCGTCTGCAGCGGCGTATGAATGGACGATTTCCATGAAAACAAGCAGTCCTAGTCCTATACAGCCAAAAGCGAAGTTAGCAAAAATAGTTGTCATATGATCCAACAGCATGTTTTTTTGTCTCAATGTTCAATACTAATGATGGTTGCGATTAAATATCTACTCACCGTGTGCCTCATCGACTAATCGCTTGAAGTCATCAGGAGTGCCATATCGACTACTAGTAGCATAAAAATTGGTAACCTGTACCAATCAGATAGAAGTTTGAGCATGTTCCTAACTAACTCAAAACAGTGAAATTTTGATTCATGCTTTGTCAGAACTTGGAACTGATTTGTGAAAAATGAGAATGCACAAGTTGCAATATAATCTAACAAATAATAAAACATATAATAATTAAGAAGAATGTATGAGGAAGAGTCCAATCAACTTACACGGTAACCAACAGTAAAATAATCCTTGTGTTCGACAACTCCTATCAACTGGATTGCATTGTATCCAGCTTCTTTTATATAAGGAAGAGTCTGCGTTAAGTATATAATAAAAGTTGTTACACACCAGATACATGTATAATGGTTTAACTAAGTAAAAAAGAAAACAAAGGAACCTTGTCTGCAAAATCGTTGAACGAGGATATTTTTGGCTCAGATCCACTGATTCCAATATGAGCTTCATATATCCGCAATGACTTTGGTACTTTCGGGCTTTGATTTTTCCATTTGTATGCATCTTCAGGAGGTGGTTCCCAATGAATTGCATAAGCTTGCCTTCCATCTAACTCTGAATGCATAACGTTCGGATGACACTAAATCAATAAAGCACAAACAAATAAAAATTAATCGATCATAAGGTTTACCTGGCTGCACATATGTAGCCCAAGCGGGTACTCGCTCCAATGGTCCATTTGAAGTGTTAAAGTAAACCCTGTACTTGCTTCCATGAGGAATACCAGGAATATACTTCTTCAACCACGCCTTCCTACCTTTACGTGTCTCAAGCCAATACGCTATAGGAGGTTTCAGTGCACGAATTCTCTCTTGCCATTCTGGATCAACTTTCACATTAAATATGTCGTAATTCTTGCCATCGTCAATTACAGCATAAGGGGAAGGTCCATTCTTTGCCGCCCATTCCTTATACCTTGTTTCTGCATCCGGTATGTCTCCTAACTCCTCCATTGTTTGAGGTCCATTGGGACCAAACATCTGCTCATACAACTTAGCTGGAACTTCGAAATGGTTTTTTAGATAACGGTCTTCACCCGGTTGCCAGTACTCATCGTTAGTTTTTTTAAAAATCTCTTCAATGGTGACTCCACTATCCCCTTTGTCATAATCGTCTACATAGTTATACTGCTGAAAATAAAGTTCATCCGGCTCTTCTCCCTCTCTCAGCTTATCGTCAAGAATAATAAACCAGTATCCGAAATCATCATGACCAAAGTAATGCTCTCTTGCACAATTTTCTGTAACTGACCAACCATTGAAGTCGGCGGTAATTGCGCAATAGCGAGCTCCTGGAGCCCATTCCATATAATCCACCCGATGTTCTGGATGACGATGCATGCCCAATAACTCATACCTGAACAGACATAATAAAGAAGAATCAAATGCAACTCAAAGGAATCTTATAATTTTACAAGCACAACTTTGTTAAATAAATCTGAAAAACTGGATCAATAGTTTTAAATACCATAATTTCAAAAACATATAGGAAACATAAAACATGCCATAGTTTCTATTATCCAACTACGGTTGATTGAATTCATATAGTTAAAATATTCAAAGAACCTGATAGGAAAATGCAGCTTATAGCTGATGACCAGAATAAACAGTAATACACTAAAGTTAATGCTGCGTAATAGAACTAACCCAGAAGCCATCTCTTTGAAGTTCATGTGCCGTTTCAAAATTTCATCTTTCAGGTCTTTCAATGCTTTATATCTAAACAAATGAAAACCAGCATCTTAAAGTTCCCTGCATCAAATTTCCAACACACCAAGAAACAAAAGTAGGTACCTAACATAGCTATGTAATTCAGTAGCAAAGCAAAAATTGAAAACAAACAAGTTATTCTGCACCTTTCTATTCGGTGATAGTTACACCAACTTCACTGATCAAGACATTGCCCAACTTATCATAGGAAAATTACCGAGTAAATAATCAAAATAGTCCTTAAATAATACAGAGACGGTCATTTGGTCTATGAATTATGGAAACTACATTCATAATCCTTGAATATGTGTATTTTTTGGTTTAAACTCATATGCATCCTCTTACGTAAGGTGTTCGCGTTCGAGGCCATCAGAGCAACAAGGTAGGACCTTTTCCTATGGAATTCATTTTGTACAAGAAATCAAACACGACCTCCTTCTAAGATGTATTCTTGTTGTTCTGGGCCGGCCAAAGGCTCATTAAACCTATTTACTGTTCCAAAACAAGGCTAATAATTTTTCAATCCATATATATATATTCACATGTGTAAGACTTAAGGCACGCACACTTTTCATATTTCCCTCCATCCCTTTCTTTTTGGACTCATTCCTTAATTTGGGTGTTGGAGTCCTAACCTTGCAAGTTCCCTCTGCATTCAACCGCATTGGAGACTTGCAGCACCACATCAGGAGTCCATCACCTCAATTCACACATAATTCTGGTTCCGATCCAAAACACCTGTAATTCAGGTTTTAAATTGCATTCGAAAATGAAATTGTGGCCGTAATATAACAGTACTTTTCTGCAACTGAAATTGCGGCTACATGGACCGCAATAGCCCACATTTTAAACCATTTGTACTATTCTTACATCCCTATGCCCTTCTTAATTCAAGAAATTACATATAACTCCCTGTTTGTGAGTCCCAAACATAGAGTGTGACTTCTACATGAAGATGAATGAAGGATAATAACAATTACAACTTCTACTAAAGACTCAAACTTTCTAACAGAAGCACAAAAACAAAACACACCCAGATAATCCAAACACAAATTCAACAAAACAAACTCAATTTACTTGCCTTTCACGAAGAAACTGAGCAAATGCCTTATGAGTAATACCACGTTTGACGAGAAACCCAACAGGGTCATAACCCTTTTCACCATCAGAATCAGTGGTATTTAACTGTTTCTTCTTCTGCTGCTTTTGTTGTTGTTGGGGGTTTTGTTGTGAACCGGAACAAGCGGTTTTTAGAGTAGTTTTTCTACGAGAAAAGGTAACGGTTTGAGGATGAAGAAACGAAGAAGTGGGTGCGGATTGAGTTTGATGGAAGAAGAAGATGTTGAGTGGAATTGAAAGAGTTGTTGTCATTGTTGTTTGAGAATGGATAAGGAGGAAATGGAAAACAGTGACACAGTAGGGAAGAATGCACTACTCAGTGTTGTGTCGGGTTCAAGAGAGGTTTTTGAGTCAACTCGGGAAATAGGGAATATAGACACAAACTGTAAAATCTAGGACTGGTTTGTTTTAGTTTACTTTTTTTCTTTAAATGCTTTTAATTAATTACAAGAATGTAACTAATTTTCACTTTTGTTTATTATTTTATAAGAATTTTACATGGGATAAACAAAACAAAAAAAGTTATTTTAATAAGGATAGGAAATTTTATTAAATTGAGTAAAAGAAGTAATTATTAATTGGTTTAGTGGTAATTGATATTGAAATTAGTATAAAGTATTACAATTTAATTATCGCATCTGCAATCGAAAAAGGATTGAAGTTATTTAATGTCAGAATTAAATTAAGAGAATTTCTTTCTACACCTAGTGCACTCCTTTAGCACCTATGGCAAAATTTTCAAAATATTCTTAGAACTCGGAAGTGCATCTCTAACGGACCACCAACGTGAATTATTAACTTTACTTCGGATATGCATATCCAAAGTCACCTGTTAGACATTTTTGAAAATGCATATCTGAAAGTATCCCTGGGCAGAACAAAATTTCAACAAAATTCATAATATTCATTCAACATAATTCAAAGAAGTTACATAAATAGTTATGCAAAAAATTAAAGTTACATACTGTTATAAACGGGTAGCTGAGAACGCGCAACATCTTGATAACATCTTTTGTCGATCTTTGAAGCTTCGCATCCATCTCAATCAGACTCTTAGAAGAGTGTTGTTGAAAGGTACCTCACATGACCTCTAAATCGTCATCGTTCTTGAGCTCAAACGGGGTGAACTTTATGTTTCATTCACTGTCAATTGAAGGTGAACGATGCTCAAACTTGACCACCTTTCGATTCTCTGGATATTGCAAGAGAGAATGCATTATGGTAATGAGCACGGAGAACGACGTATTCAGCGAGAACCTGAATTGAAGTGGTGACTGCACAGACTGAAGTAGACAAAAGTAAGGTGTGGATATGTTTGTGTCATTTTTAGTTGTGGTGTCTGAATGGTAAAGAAATGATATGGAAGATCCAATTTATAGCCTTTTTGGAGCAATATGGACCAAAGAAATCTTATCAGGACATATTTCGGAAGTGCACCTCCGAATTCCTCTTGTTTTTATCGAAAGTAGGGGTTTTCAGAGATACACATCTGAAGACACTACGAGTTTTAATAAAAATAAAAGGTTAATTCGGAAGTTCATATCCGAAATAAGCGTTGTGTTGTTTTTTTTAAATTGAAGGTTAATTCGGAAGTGCACTTCTGAATTATGCAGAAACAGAACCCAGTTTCATTATTGTTCATTATTGTGTACAAAAGCGCATGAAAAGATAAAGAATTGTAACACTAAATATAGATATATGTTATACATGTATTGAAACGTATAGAGTTTATAATATGTATGACAATACATTCAAAGAATGGTTCGATGAAACTTCTAAAAAATGGTTCTATGAAACTTCTAAAAAATGGTTCGATTAAACTTCCTAAAATACACCGAACGAATTTTTACTGCTTAAATCTAAAATTGATTCTTTCTTCGACTTCTCCCTATTTGATTCTCTCTCAAGCTCTATCAAATTGGTTAACTCTACCATCATTTTCAAAAAATAATCTGGCCAAATTTCTGCCTCTTTGTTATGATGTGCCATCCATTCCACAGATGTAGCTGGTATAGGACAACCTGGTTTCAAATAAACCTGAACAAAATAACGTGATCTAAGGTACCCAATACACATGATGCAACCGGATGAGTCTTCAAGCGGGGGAGTCCGAAGAGGAAAAAATGTTATCGAAAAATCTTACCTCATCAAGTCGATACACCCCCTCTCATATGCACTTTCTATAAGATGACTCATTTCAGGGAAGCTCATCCACTTAGAAACTGATGCGTGAATGATAACACTTGGAGCAAGAGCATGATGAATTTTATTAAATTTCTCCATAGTCACATATAGGCGAGTGTAGGGTTCACTATGCACCGTCAACTATGAAATAAGTGTTTGGCGCACAAGAGTGTGATTTTCCTCTCATTTACCAAGTAACCCAGACACGACACGATACCCGCAATTACCATCACTCCCCACATCCACGTTTCGTTCAATATGTTTGTGCATAAAAAGCGGCATATCATCAATGTAGATAATAAGTTGTGGTTGTTTTATAATAGGCAGTGTACGGGGTGGTTTAGAAAGGTGAGCTCCCTTGTTAACACTTGTTTTGGATTTTGGGGTTGGAGAATCTGGAAATATTGAATCAACAACTTCATGGTAAGAAGGATTCTGCTTTGTTGAACTGTCACCCTGAGAATTGTTCGCCTTTTTAGGTGCACCTTTTATTTTTACCGGTTGCGATGGAGGTTTCAAATTAGTGGTTTCTGGAAAGGAGATTTTTCTCAAAAGTTATTTGATGTGCAATTTCATAGAGTAATTAGCTTTATAAAATCTATCCATTATCACTTCCAACTCAGATGTGATGGTTATGTTGGATGTAGCTTCCTTTGTCGACTCGTAGTCATTAAACAGAGTCTTTTCCAATGAATGCAAACCTCATTCATACGTATGGAAGAATTGAGCTTCATTTTTTTAGAAATAACACATGCACATGGAAGCCCGTAAGTCGTCCTAATTGTACATCCACACTTCAAACTATTTGGCCATGTCGTTTCCGATCGTTTTGCTTCATGATAGATGAAATTCAAACCCGCTCGAGATATGTTGTGAACCAATTGTGCATATATAGGGTTACCTTTAAAATGGTGTTCTAATACAGTTTTACTCCTACCAAAAGTTGTTTGAATTTCATTATGTTGGTTTTAAAGCATTTGGTTCATCGTGTCCCATTTTCTATAAAGGTCCTCTTTGTTATCGCCCAACCACTTCTTCAACGCGACATGTGTCGATTCCACTCTATTAGTTGTTGTGTTACCCAAATGTCTAACTCGATCCATCTAAGCACATACAACTTTCTCTTTCACTTGATCAAGTATAATAGACTCAACGTATTTCAAGAAATTGGGATATTCGACACAAAAATTTCATAACTGTACCATATTCTCAGTATATAACTCTTCGGTAGTAGAATTAAGAATATCGGTCAATGCACCCATTATCTTCTCAACCACAACACCGGATTTGATCATGTTTCTATCTTCATCCTTTTTTTCTAGTGCCAACTACGAGTTTTAGTCATGCTCTCACATTTTTTGTTATATGAAACCGACAAAGTAATGGGTTGACAAAGGAAACACGATGCCAACCACATTCATAAGGGCGTTATCTCGGTCGGTAACAATGATCTTAGGCATATTTTATAGATCCTTCAACAAAGTCTTGCATATACCCAACGCCCAAGTGACGTCGTCTTCTTTCTCACATTCCAAAAAACCAAATCCAACCGAAAATGTCTTGTCCGTAGATGTAACACTGACAATTTCTAGAAGCGGAAGCCTATACTGGTTAGTCTTGTACGTCGAATCGATCATAAGGACGATTGGAAATGTGTTAAATAACTTGATAATTTTTGGATGAGTCCAAAAATATCATGAATACTAACGTTTTCCTCACAAACTCTGTACCTGAAAACATAGTGGTTATCGTCCAAGCATTTCAATAAATGTTGCATTTTGGACCTCAGACCTCTTTGTGCAATGTGTTGTTTGTAACGATGATTGTAAACCAACTTGATATTTGAAACACATTCTGGTTTATTCAGTCTCAAACCGGAAAGTATGTTTCTCAGTACAACTTTGACCAATGACAATTCGGAAATAAATTCCTTCTCTACCGTCTTAAGCCGACATACAATTGGATGCTCGTGTAGCTTGTTGTCCACCACATGATTATTCATATCGGACATGACATTATACCGCCATAAATCATCCACTATATAATAAACACGCAATTTAAACTGACACTCACATTTCCTCGATCCCGTGTCATCATGTTTTATCTTCCGAATTTTTGGAACATATTTCCCACTTCTCTCGCATGTCATCACAACAAATGGTTGCCTTTTACTAGTCTCATTGTCAGACCTTTCAATCACAACGTCAAACCCAAGTTTGCTAGCTTTCATTTGAATCCATTCAATCATATGTTGACGAGTAGTGAAACTTATCGGTTTGAATTTGTTGTGCATAATTGATCGCAACATCATTCGTTTTATCAACGTCTTTCACCTCAATCGACTTATTATCTTCATTGACATTGTCCAGAACTTTTACGAGAGTTTTAACAATACTACCGGGGTGTACCATACCTAACATGTTAAAAACACATGAATTTTGTTAAAACAGAATTCTGGATTTGAAACAAACATTATTTCGGAAGTGCACATCCGAATTTATGTTGGTGGAATTCGGAAGTGCATATCCAAAGCGACGTTGTTTTCTTCTTCAACAAAACAACTTCAAATACAGCAAATGTGTAATGAAAAAAGAGAAGTTTACCTCAAATTGCAGCTTTCTTTGCTCTCCTTGCTATATCCAAACACTTGAAATTTGATTTGGAGACGAAAAATTCATTGAAAATGATTGAAGGTTTATGAGGGTTTTGGTTATGGAGGATTAGAAAATGAATGAAATAATTATGATAGGTGATCATACAGTATTCTAATATAGAAAGAGAAGTTTCGAAGATGCACATATGAAATCATCCATTAACATGTTTCGCGTGTGCATCTTTGAAGCTATCTAAAAAAATTTCAAATTCAACGTTCATGTTATAAAACATGGAAAAAAAATATCTTCGGATATGCACTTTCAAAATATACTAATAGGTGCGTTTAGAAGTACATCTCCATAAAATATTTTTAGATTTTCATAGATGATTTTCACCCCTACTAAGTGTAAAAAGAAATTATCCTAAATTAATTGTTGCATTGGCATATTCCAACCAAATGTATCATGTTGAAG